TGTGTGTGTGTGTGTTTGTGTGTGTACGATGTGTGTGTGTGTGTATGTGTGTCTGTGTGTGTCTGTGTGTGTGTGAGAGTGTGTGTGTGTGTGAGTCTGTGTGTGACCTGTGTGTGTGTGAGTGTGTGAGTGTGTGTGCGTGTGTGTGTGTGTGTGTGTGTGTGTGTGTGTGTGTGCGTGTGTGTGTGTCCGTGTGTGTGTGTGTATGAGTGTGTGTGTACATGTGTGTGTATATGTGTGTGTGTGTTTGTGTGTGTTTGTGTGTGTGTGTGTGTGTATGTGTGTGTGTGTGTGTGTGTGTGTGTGTGTGTGTGTGTGTGTCTGTGTCGTTATAACTCAAGCATAGCACGATGACTCAAGAAGTTATGGATGGACACCATTCCTGTTACCGACAGTATTTTCACGAAAAAAAAAACCGTATAGCAGCAAACGATAGTTTTGCCAGAAAGTTTGTATGTAACCTTGAACAGCTATATCCTAATTTTCTTGCCTAGTTTGAAAGTCTTGTGAAAATGTAACCCGCGGTATGTCAGTTAGCTGCACGCGTCAGTGGGGACCCCTAGCGATCCAAATTATTTCTGTACCTAAATAAAACGTTTAAAAAAACAGTGACCGTTTCATTCATGTTTTCTCCAGTAGGTTTTATTGAATAATCTCCGTGTACACGGTATCCTTATTGACCCCAATAAGTTTGTAACTTTGCGATAATGGTTGATCTTACATACAATTGATATTACAAGTTGCAAGAAACAATTTGGACGCAAGAAAAAAAAAGTTCTATATCTATGGATAAGGATCATTACAAGACACTGCAATAAACTAATAAAACTTGACCAGGTCACCCTTGGTCAAGTTTTATTAGTTTCATTTATTAGTTTCCTATTTTATTTGTTTCATTTCATTAGTTTCCTACTGCACTAAGGTAATGAATAGGTTTAAGGATAATAACGACACCTGTCGATATGACCAAGAACTACAATGATTCAAATTTTATTGACGACTTCAATACACAGTGTACAATATGTTACATTTCACGGTTCACTCTTACGCACATGGTAGCGAATTCATGCAAACCGACAAATTTCGAGCATAATTGGAGAAACATGTAGAATAGTAGGGCACAATGAATTCCGTCATATCCGAGAAAATACAAATTTACACAAGAAAGGTAACATTTGCAAAGCAACTGCATAATGTTTACCTTCGCATATGGTCTGCTCTGTTAATTCTTTCTAAAAACACATTCACATATATGGTGACAAGAGTCTAAATCCCCCATACTATAAAATTGCAACATGATGTAACCCAACACCAGTTGCCATCATGACAGACGGTCTGGTTCAGGTCATTGACCAGGTCAGTGTTTGGAACGGAAGAAGAAGAGACAGAGCAAAAACTATATGTTCCCTTCGGTAAACATGATAAGGCCAAAAGTTGACAGAATACACGACTGTATGAGATTTTAGTTATCTTGGCCGAGACATTACGCTCCTGTCACACATTCACGAAGAATTCGGCCTCCCGAACATTATCCGACCCCGCAACCATGCATAAATTGATAAGAGTGGTCGGTGCAAAGTCGGCTGGCGGTCGGCGAGGTCGGCTACTAGTTCGGCCGCGCCATCCGATTGTTTAAAAAGTGTTTAAAACATTCGGGGGCTAGTCGGGAGGATCGGACATGGTTGGCTAGTGTCCGGCTGTAAGTCAGCAGAACACCAGCCAACCATTCGGGAGTAAGTCAGCAGTTTTAGGGGTGTGTTTGGAGGTAAAATTTGACTCAAATTTAGCTCAAGTTTCGTTTAAAATTTGACTCAAATTTAGCTCAAGTTTCGTTTCGAGTCGTATACAAAGGTAGGCATGACCTAAATCTGGTCAGACTGCTCCCGAACGTGGTCGGTTGGTGTTTGGGAGCAAGTCGGGAGAAGGTCCTGAATGTGTGACAGGTCGCACTACGTCTAATGCACAAACGCAATTGACTCCTAACATTTATAACAACAATAGAAACTCTCCCCTAGTACACGTGTGCAACATATCTACAAATACGGCAATATTCACCAACTATACAAAGTATATAACTTACAAAGGAATTCTTTTCATGTTTGAAGGGACAAAATTGTGAGTAGTATGTTATGGACAGGTCCATAACATAATAGTATGTTATGGACAGGTCCATAACATACTACTCTTGTGCTTATACTTATATAACAAGATGACAAGTATATTTCTTTTTACAACAATAGAAGGAGGCACATTCGACACAACATTTTGAAGTCAACCGATTGTTTTTTCTACTTCTTCGCTTACATTTACTTCCACTGGCTTACATTTACTTTTTCTGTTTCAGTTTGTTTAATAGCTATGATAACCCTTACAGAATACAGGACACGCCAAAGGTCTATTCTGGCTGCAACAAATGTGCAATTAAAGGGACATTATGTAACATTTCTTAACCAAAAATTGAAATAAATTATCCAAAAAGATATTTATGTGACTGTAATTTACAACAATATTTCAACATGTAATTATCTCACATTTCTGACATTTATGGTTGGTGCTAAAACAGCCCAAACGAGGTGCACTCTGTTTGTGGTGCCACCATAAACTACCAGAATGTAAACAAACATGGCTGACAGCCGTGTTTGAAGCTTATAAACATTGAAAAACCTCCATATTATATGCATAAAATTTTTTTATCATCCTAATGTTACATAATGCAGCTTTAAATGCTTTTGTTATCATTTAGAACAACTTAGAGGCATACACCCGCTGTGACGTCATCTACACGTTAGAGTTCGGGAGAGCCACCAGTCCCTTGTTTAACTCCATCGACGACGCTCGGCCATTCTCGGCAATTTCCGCAACCTGTGCCTCTCCCGAGTCCTCCAGGAATAACAGGCGTCGCGCTCTCTGAGAAAAAAAACACATCGTGTAAATCTTAGTAAAAAGTTGAACTTTATTCCAACACGCAGTTTACAGAGAGATCAAATTTTCAGCGACCACTGTCATCAGGATAATTAATGACCAATCACTTCATAACGTGATCTCGCGAGAGGTACGGTTTACAAACACGTGACCTTATTCACACGAGACTTTACTGATACGTGACGTAAGCAATTGATCAAAAGTGCCAGGGAGTTTATATCGTCCACCATCTCTATTAAGTGAAGGCTGAAGTGCTCTGATATATATATGGCCTCCTTAATGTAATCGTGTAAAAATCTTGTGATTTCTGTGGCAATACGTTTTTGCAATAGACCGATCCCGAATGCCCAAATCACAATTAGAGGTTCAGCCAATGAGAGAATGGCAATTAGCGGTTTGACCAATGAGAGAGCGGCTGAATATGCGTCAAATATTTAAATTTCTATGTTTAAACGGAGGTGGGCGGGGCTTTAGGATATTAGTAAACTGTTTAAAGTTCCTCTCCTTGGTGCTGAAAGTGTTGTTCAGCACATTTGACTGCATCCAATGCAATAGACTATTCCAGGGCGGCAAAAGGGATTTTTAAAGTCGATTTCTGGTCATTCTTTTAATGTGGTCAGCCCTATCCCATAAGTTACTGATATCTGTGAGGCAAAAAGATGATGTCGCTGACGGAGAACGGTTGCTGGTTTGTATCGTAGGCTGGTTCAAGACATTTTAGGTGGTACCCAAAAATAAAAAGATGCCTCACGTAGCTTGTTTTGGGGCCCGCTATTTCAAACGCTTTAAGTATGAAATGATGACGAAAATGTGGTAAGAAATGGCAGTAGATGCCAGGATCAGACGGATTTTCTCTTCCAGAATATTTGCTGTTTTGCCGCCATGAAATTGCATTAGATGCCCTTAAAAGTTGTTGTAAATGAAACATAATTATACAATAAAATATTAGGACGGATACCTGTTGCAGATTTCCCGGAGTGATGATGAACTTGTACATGGCGTAGAGAGGGATACAGATCAGGGACGATCCAGTAATGCCCCAGCCCACCCCCACGGCCCAGCCGGGGTACACGTAGTCTCCGTAGACCGGCGCCTCGTAGTACACCAGCCCCAGGACAATAGTGATCTGCAAGGAAAGGATTTCTTCATTTTTCAGCCTGCCTCGACAGAATTCAAAACCGCTTAGGAAATCTTGCTGTGAGTTACCTGTTCGCCACCTTACAACCCCTCTCACAAAGGCGTAATGTTGCAAGTCTATCTAGCGTTACTCTGTCACTATTTTCATGGCAAATTGCTATACTCGCTTGTGCCCGGTGGCCATTCCGACCTTTCTCAGCTAGAACACGTTTTGCCACTTTTACAAAAATAGATTACCCTTTCTTCTTCCATACTCCGTCTCTTAGGAGGAAATTCCACGCTGAAAACTTCTCTCCTAGAACTACATCACTATGGAACAAGCTTCCTTGTGAATGCTTCCTAAATGGGTATATATATATAACATGAAACTTTTCAGGTCTAAGGTAAAAAAAACTGTCCATTACTGTAACCCAGAACGTGTGAGTCTTTCAGGTAGATGACTTTTGATCACTTTTTCTGACACAATTCAAATATATCAAATAAGGAAGGCCCATGAGTGGTCTTTAATTTTGCTCTGTATTGACGTACCGCTTACCCTGGGAGCCAGCCAGACTAGTGTCGGGCCATTAGCCGGTTCTCTTCAGTAGACTAAACCACTACGCCCGCCTTTCTAAATTACTGCTACGGGGGAGTCGAGCCCGAGAGAATTTGGCCGGCCTCACCTAGTCTGGCGAACTCCCCTCGGGCTCGACTCCCCATGTAGCGGTAGTTAAGATAGGCTGGCGAAGTGCTGTTGGCTACCGAAGGGAACCGGCTAACGGCCCGATAATACTAGTCCAGGGTACGTACCGCTAGTATGATGGGGCAGATGAACGTCCAGCAGATCCGCCACGGCAGGGCGGGCTTTGTCCCCATCATCTCCCGCATCTCACACGACAGACGCTCCGTCCCTGGAGGTAACAAAAAAAACTCTTTGAACATTTTGAAATCTCTTAAATTTTTACATTTTATTTTTACAGTAATGCAGCTACATGTATCGGCGATAAGCAGTATTCCATCTTATCTAGAATCTTTGAGGAAGATGTCTGACAGACATCGAAACGTAAGAAGGTGAGAGAGTTTGCTCATTTTTTTAAAAATGCAAATCCCAATATCCGGCATATGAAGTAAAGACTAAACTTTATCTCCAACACTGGAATGAATTGGGCTTACAGACCTACCCAGAACAGAGACGGGGGACGACACAAGTTATCTGGCAAGTATGTCGGTATGACGTGTCTATGTCGTCATATTCCAAGAATAGACGGGTCCATTCCGTGAACAGCCGAAAATTTGGTAAGAGCCAATTCATTCCGGTATTGGAGATAAACGTTAGTCTTTATTTTACTTCATAATGACTTGTATCAACACAGATGAAATTTCATGCTCCGTAATTTTTCAGTTTGCCAGATTTACTAACCGTATATCCAGCAGACGATGGTGACCTCCAGCAGCACCACGATGGTGATAGAGGTGTTGGCAGCGAACGTGTCCATCAGGTGAACCACCAGCACACCACCCTACCGGAACAGCACAACAATCAAAATGACAAACTAGACAAAGGTTACATTTTTGTGAACACTTACACTTAATTCAGCTTCGGATGTCAGTTAGCAATTATGTTTTTGCAATATTGCATTTGAAATGAGCCATTATATATTACATAGACTCCTATAGATGTAAATGTTTGGCCTTCCAATGGTTAACAATATCCATCCAATGGCCTTCCAATGGTTAACATGAGCCATTATATATTACATGGATACCTATGGATGTAAAGGTTTGGCCTTCCAATGGTTAACATTATCTGTCAGATGCAATATGTATATGTAGTTATAGTTTTACCTCTTCCCAAAAAAAGAACGTGGTGTCCCACAAGGATCTATACTTGGTCTATTTTAGGTACATTCGTATTTTTAATTGTCTCCTTTTCATGTACAAATAAAAACTAAAATATCACAGTGCACAGTGAACCAGTAACACCTAGCTTCGGTGCAAGTCATTTTACATGTAGCCCTGGAGGAGATGATAGTCGAAATGTCGACCCAAGTAAACAACTTGTGCATAAACAACTTTGATATTCAGTATGAATCACATGTGACAGAACAGCCAGACTTACGTTGGTGGTGGTGACCAGTGCTCCGGTGTAGCAGACACACATCAGCACCAGTACGAACAGCTCACGGTGTCTGCGCAGCACACGCGGGTACTCGTCACTCAGGGACGTGATAACCGTCTCCAGACCGCCAAACTGAAAATAAAACAAGAATTCGGAGATCTCAGACCTCCATGAAATACTTAGGTCTTGTGCTATGTCCTCCTGCAATCTCCTTCTTCACCATGCAAGGGAAACAACACCAGCTGTCAGCTGTCAAGGAGGTCATGTAACGAAAAACACCTGTGAAAACAGCGAGCGCTACGAAACATAGACATGATTAATGACTTCCTCCCTCTGGAAAAGACTGAACCCAACCATATCCATTACAACCTCACCTAAGGGCAATGCAGAAACACACACAAACACACACACACAAACACACACACACGGAGACACACACATACACACACTCACACATACATACATGCATACATACCAAAACAATACCATTTTTCATGGAGGTAGCAAAGTCCGTTCGTGTTTTTTTGTAGGTTTGGCTTTTGAGTCATTGGGAGGCTAATTTCATCGCTAGATGATATAAAGGTGTGCCTGTACCGTAGAGTCCACGCCCAGGTTGATCAGCATGAAGAAGAAGATGAGTGCCCAGCCTGTGGCGCCCTCCATACTGGCGATAGCCTCGGCATACACCTCAAACAACAGGCCTGGCCCTAGGGGGAGGGGGTGGAGTGGACAGGCTTAGACAGGTGCAGATCTATCGAGGGTTTTAGCTATCAAACATTAATGTCTCTAGGATGGACTTTTGTCCCTGTTCTGTGTGACAGAGATGTACCCCAGACAGTACAGACATTTTGTTACCTCCTACAGCTATGGTCTCTATTTCCCTGTTCTGTGTGACAGAGATGTACCCCAGACAGTACAGACATTTTGTTACCTCCTACAGCTATGGTCTGTATGTCCCTATTCTGTGCGACAGAGATGTACCCCAGTACAGACGTCATGTTACCTCCTACAGCTATGGTCTCTATTTCCCTGTTCTGTGTGACAGAGATGTACCCCAGTACAGAGAAGATGACGAAACCAGACAGCAGACTGGCAAGACAGTTCATCAGGCTGGTAGCTACTGCGTCTCTGTGGAAGTCATAAAAGAAACAATTATATTATCAGGCAGATTTCATATAATTCACATAGTTTAGACACACACAGAGAGAGAGACAGAAACAACACAAAAGTTAACATATGCAAGGCAAATGCATAATGTTTACCTTCACACATGGTCTGCTCTGTTAATTCTTACTTAAGGGAGTCTAAATCCCTCCTACTATAAAATTGCAACATGATGTAACCGGACACTAGTTACCATGGCAACAGACAAGACATTGGTTCAGGTCAGAGGTCACTGTTTGGAGAAGAAGAGAAAGAAGAAACTGAGCAAAAACAATATGTTTTCCTTCGGTAATCATGGTGAAGTTATACGTCAGGATGAATGGAGGATCTAGGACATTTCAGTACCAAGGTCATGTCGTGTGAGACAAGTCTACACACCTGCAGGTGTTGTTGTAGAACCGGTTGTAGCTGGACAGAGTGATCAACACCCCGAACCCAGGGCCCAGCGAGAAGAACACCTGCGCAGCTGCGTCCCACCACACCTGGAATCGCAGGTGAGAAACTAAGCATGGGAATCTATCGTTTAAAGTTCACAATAATATATTATTTGGATTTTGGAATGGCACGTGACGCTGAATCTGGTGTAGTCTACGAAAATGCTAGCATCGCTCTGAAAAACAAGAATTCGGGGACATCAGACCTCCATGATATATGAAAATATTGTGTGATGGTGACTATGTCTTCTTCTTATTCACGATGGTGCCTACAGTGTTTTTTCGTACAAGGGAAACAATACCAGCTGTCAAGGAGGTCATGTAACTAAAACACCTATGAAAACAACAAGCGCTACCAGAGGTGGACGTGATTAATGACTTTCGTCCTCTGGGGCAGACTGAACCACCATGCCCATTACAACCTGGCCTAAAGGCCATGCGGAAACACACACACACACACACACACACACACACACACACACACACACACACACACACACACACGTACACACAGACATACCAAAAATTATACCCCCATTTAACAATCTGGCTATGTCTACAACTGTAGTAACAATAAGGTAACTGAGAGTCCCTTTACCGATGGCGAGGCCAGGGTCTCCCACTTCGGTGTGAGGAAGTACAGGATGCCCCTCCTCGCTCCCGGCAGCGTGACGCCTCGAACCATCAGGATCAGGAGCAGGATGTACGGGAGGGTTGCAGTTACCCAAACTACCTGCAAGGGGGCGCGCGTGAGTGGAGGAGAAACGAGTTAGACCCTGATTCGTTCATTGTACACATACCCACTGGGTTAAGTACAGGTTACAACAAAAGGATGGAATATAGATAACGTTACATATATACATTGTCAAGTAGCTACAATCAGGTATATATATCTATCATTTTTTCCCTTCAAAAACTTTACTCTTACCTTTCCAGACATGTGGATGCCCTTCCACAAACTGAAGTACACGATGACGAACACCAGGGCCAGACACAGCGCTATCTGCCAGCGGATGTACCCCAGTTCACTCAGCCCGTTAGAGTTCTGGTACTCATACACGTTTCTCCTATTGGTGGCAATAATCACGTGATCAGACAACGTTAGCCAATCAAGATTCAACATTCGATGTCTAGAAATAAAAGCAACTTGCCACTACTTAAAGCTACATTATGTAACACTAGGACGATACAATTTTCTTGTGATCATTTTTACAAAATAATTTTAACCAACCCTACTCCGTTGCAAATACGTTTCATTCAGGAAGGGTTTAAAGGCTGGAAACACAGCCACTATTGTAGTCTGGTATTTTGTGGTGGTACCACAAAACTGGATGCACTTCGCTTGGGTTGTTCAAGGTCCAATCAGAAATGTCAAGTATCCAAAATTGCACAAAGAATATTGAAAAGTGGAAGTAAATTACAATCACACCAAGATTTTTTCAAGTCAAACATGTCAAGGAAGATTTTTCCAAGTAAGATTTTTCAATCATACAAAAAATGTTACATAATACGTCTTTAAGTAGTAGTAGTAGCAGTACTTTGCTCATCAGTAAAAACAAGAACCTGGTGAAAACTATAATTATGATTGCATGCCAGAGCACAAACTGTTGTGAAGGATAAAACAAGAAATTCATGAAAAAAATCGAAAGCACAATGACTTAATCTTTGCTGCTTGTTCCTAAAACTTTATTCAACAGGTTTCAACAGGTTTCAACTGGATTCAACAAGTTTGCCACTTACACGAGAAACTCGGTGGCTGCAGAGACAGAGCTATTCCGCCAGGTGTCGACATTGAACTCCGTACAGTTCTCCGTGTTCCACGTGTTGTTACAACTCCTCCAGGGCAGATCAGAAGTGAATGAACTGTGGACACAATAAAGCGTGGATTGCTTTAAAATCCATCCACACAAAACCCTGTCAAATATAGCTCATCTTAGTACAAAAATAACGCCATCGCATAATACACATAGACTCTTTTTTTCAAGCTTATGAATTCTAATCGCATTTAATACAAGGCTTACACAATGGGACACAACGTGAATTGTTAAATGATGAAGGAAACACAATGAACTTGGTATATTTGCGGTATAGGTCCACCATATGCTACTGTGGACACGTACATTCTTTCTTTACAGTGCAAAATACCCCCAATAAGCCATGACTACATCGTTAGGTGTGCTTGTGACGACTAATTGCTATATTGCTGTGTTCGATCCCTATTTTAGCTCTCCTTCAATAGCTGTACCATCACAAAAGCACATGTTTCTGGGAGACAAATTTATGCCAGGGCAACCGTAACAAAAGAAGCGAGCAACACTGGGTATAATGGGTGATTGTAAAGCTATAGGTAGTTAGTATTGTTTTCTATACCCCCCACTTCACAATACGTATCCATTAAGGTGACTCTTACGCATTGGTTAAACACTTGAAGTGTCTGAGTATCTCCTTGGCAGCAGCGTAAATTCACGATTGTCAAAGGGGCATAGAATAGGCGAGCGTACTTTCTGAACCAAAATTTTCATTGACGCAATACTATTGTCGAATGAAGCCTCAGAAATGACAGTTCTGGAGCAAGATAAGAACGTTGACAAAGCACGTTGTGTTCTTAAAATGTTCTAAGGCATGAGGCTTAGAAAAATTAATGTTGTGTTTCCAATTTCAGTCCTAAAAACTTATGGTCGGTAGGTCGGGATTTTCTTCTTTTTTTAAGTTTTGTTAAGGCCCATCACCCTTAACCGTGACGGGGGCCGACATCGTTTACCAGATACATGTACCTTTGACCCGGTGGTGAAGTCACACTTCAGGAAAGTCACGTGACTATTCTCACTGGGTCAGTCTACTGAGGAAGACCAGAGTGACTGGTCGAAAGCTCTGGGTGAGAACATTTCCCTTTTCTGTTAGAACAAACGTTTTTACCTTTAAACAGTATTATTCTCTTCACTGCTAGAACTACTTTGCTGTAGCGGAACCTACGTAGCAGTGAATGACTTACCTGAAGAAGTAGAAGACAGCCCAGGCGATGATAGTGTTGTAGTAGAAGGACGTGTACATCCCCACCAGTATCATGGCATAACCCAGACCTGGAGGGACCAAGAGATGGCACAGATATCATTAGATAGCTTTAAACAATGTTTAGAGTTAGATGTTTAAAGGATATATATATATATATATATATATATATATATAGTGTAACAAGTCGTTTGGTGTAATGGAGCCAGCTGCCGCCGCGTCCCGTGCCTGCGAAGCTGGTGTGTTACGCCGAAGGGCGGTTATACCGGGTTTAAAAATGACGGTTATATAACGGTTAACACAAGGCCTACCTTTGAAAAGAGGGCAGATCTTTGTCCATATCTTGAGCGGGCCGAGCTGATGGTACTGCCCCAGAGATAACTCCATGTAGCACAGAGGGATTCCTCCGAATATCACCATGACGAAGTAAGGGACAAGGAACGCACCTACATTATAATAACAACAAAACACACATATATATATAACATCGTAATAAAAAGAAAGGTTAAGAAAGAACTTTTTAACAAGCTATTGGGAAAAAAAGAAGATAAAATTGCTTCCGTGTTAGGCGTGGAAGACATTAAATATCACCGATACATATGAAAAGAAAATTATGATATATGTATCATCAAATATGGAACGTTAACGTATTGATGGAATTTCAAGTTATTGTCAAGTCTTCCTAGACTTGTATAACCAAATTTCTGGGAATGAAAAATGACATCTCTAAATGCGAAGTGAAAAAAATGCCTAAAAACGGAGTGAAAAAAACACCATCCCTAAAAGCCCTTGTGATGACTAGGAAAGTGCCGTACCACCCCCGGCGGACTGTTTAAAATAAAACCGTTGTACCTATAGCTACCAACCGTTGGACCTACCTCCACCGTTACGGTGACAATTGAATGTAGAACCGTTGGACCTACCTCCACCGTTGCGGTGACAGATGTACGGGAAGCGCCAAACGTTTCCCAGATCCACGGCAAACCCGATGACAGACAGCAGGAAGTCGACTTTCTTAGACCACGTCTCTCTTTCCTCTCCGTCCGCCCCGGCGTCCGCCCCGTCCCCGGCCGGGTCAGCCTTCGGGTTCCCCTGGTCGCCGTCCGGCTTGGTCAGGTTCAGGCGGGAGGACGGCGCCACGCTCCGGTCGCCCTCGCGCTCAGACGGCGGCGACGACCTGGCCGACACCTGGAGCGGATTTTTTGGGGGTAAATTTCAACAGGTAGGTAAAGGCTACTCTCCAAGCACGGGTTTAGGTTTTGGCTTATTTTTGGCGTGTATTGAAGTTTTTTCGTCGGGCTTTCTTTTCTGCACTGGTATCTGTTTTTTTTACGGCGAAAAAGATACCAGTCCGATAAAAAGGCATAAAAACACGCCAAAAATAAGCCAAACCCCAAACAATACAAGTGACACTGGATTTACTTCGAAAATACGTATTAATTTGATTTGCATTTGATTTGCATTAAATTTTCTTATCTGTACGAAATACCATCTGCATCGTCCATCCGGTCAAATCACAGAGTAGAGTTACGAGTACGTGATTCCCTACAAATTAGCGCAAGTTTTGATATGTCTACATGTAAGTCTAGCTTTCTTCTCTTGATCTCCAAGCAGATCTTTTGGTGGCTGCAAAGACAGTATCAAATTGGCCAGGCAGTATCCATTTGCCAGATAGTTACCATTTTCCCATTGGGCTGGCGTAAAAAAAAAGGCAACAGTACAAAAAAGAAAGCACGATGAAAACGCTAAAACACGCTAAAAATAAGCCGAAGCTTAAACCTCTGCATGGATAGTCATTGCACAAAACAACGATACTTTAAAGCATACGTAAAGGTTCCATTTTTCCAATGAAGTAAAGAAACAGACTTTACGCATGGTTTAAGTTATGCTGAAAGATCGTGTCGGTGGCGTCGGTGGCGCAACGGTTAGAGCGTTGGACTCGGAACCAAAAGGTCCCGGGTTCGATGCTCACCGTGGCCCGACGTTGTGCCGTTGGGAAAGGCACTTTACACGACTTCCCCACCTGTACGGTGGAGTGACGCCCACCGAGCCTCTTAGGCTAATCTGTCTAACTGTGTGCCAAAAACACACAACGGATTTGGTGCGCCTACATGTATGTGTCAACATAAGCACATTTGCCACCGAGAGCCGTAAAAAAGATTGGTAACCTCCGTAGCAGGCTTATAGAACTTGGGGTTTGGTGGCCTTCGGCTGTTTTCTGAATAGTCCAGTTCTAAAAACGGGGGTAATTCAACCAGACCGGCTATGTTGTCTAAATGCAATCAGAAAATAGCACATAAAAGCTCAAAAAGAACCTTAAGACCCCCAAAACCCCCAGTTTTTGGCATGCTATGGAAGCTAGTGTAGTGAGTGTTCTTCTCTTACCTTAGCCATGTCCGCCTGCTGCCCGTACCAGTCCGCACTGCCGGCCCGATCGAACGCCGGGTTGTTATATTCCATCCCGCGCGCCTGCTCAGATCGAAGCCCCGGCTTCCGGCTCTTTGTACGGCGTACCAATCTCCCCGGGTACGGCCTTCGTCTGGTCCTAACGACGTCCGCTAACAAGAACCTCTTCTTCCCGTAACGAGTTTAATTGAGGACGTCACATCTGCAATTAGTTGAAGTGGCATTATGTAACATTCTTGTAACAAAGATCAAAATGATTTCTTTTTAATTTTAATTATATATTCTTGTGATTGTAATTTACTTCCACTTTTCAACATATTTGTGCAGTTATTGTACATTTTTGGTATTTTTGGTTGGCGCTAAAACAGCCCAAACGAGGCGCACTGAGTTTGTGGTGCCACCTCAAAATACCACAATGTAAACAACCATGTCTGTCAGCTGTGTTTCAAGCCTTTAAACCCACTCGTCTTATTTTGGTACCTCCACTTCCTGAATGGCACATAGTTGCAGGGTTGATTCAACAGAAATGACTATAAAATTCACTTTTTGTGTCGTCCTAATGTTACATACTGCAGCTTTAAATCTAAGGATATAGAGAAAACACATTGAACACGAGAAGGTTCCGTTCCATCCGACAAACATCATCAAATAAGCTATGATCATGATCAAACAAGACGTGTGGGTGGCTATTCCTCCAGGTGTTCTATTTATGGGTCTATTTATCTATAGTTTTCTATGAATATCTGCAATTGGATTTCATGGCTTTGATGTACTTTGTTGAGATTGAAGAGCGGTAAAAAAACAAGTCACAAAGCAGCTTGGGAACATTAGGATGACATAAGTTCTTTTTGTTAAAGGCATCCAATGCAATATCAAGGCGGCAATATAAAGTCAATATTCTGGCCATTCTTTTAATGTAGTAAGTTGAATCAACCCTATCCCATACGTATACTGATGTCTGTGAGGCACAAATGTGAAATTGTCACTGACGGAAAACGGTTGCTTCTACATGTTTTCTATCGTAGACAGATTCTAGCTATTTATGGTATTTGCACGTCGACGCCTCACGTAGCTTGTTTTGGGGGCTATTTCTAACACTTCAAGAATGAAATGATGAAGAAAATGTGCTAAGAAATGACAGTAAATTGTCAATATCAGACAGATTTTCTCATCCAGATTTTGTTTTGTTTTGTTTTGTTTTGTTTTGCCGCCCTGAAATTATTGTATTGGATATGCGGCATCAACACAGCAAACTTGAGGAAGAACATATTCAACAAAATACGCAACACATCTTTAAACGTGCACATCTTACACATGCGTAAAGGTACACAATAGGGGTGAAACGGAACCTTTACGCATTCTTTAAGATATGCTTAAGGAAGACATTTCTTGAAATGGACCAACTGCAACAATTGGTGTATATAAAGTTAGCAAGTTTTTCCGAAATATATAGATAGCCACGTATCCACAAAATGTTCACAAAGTTTAAACCAGGCTATAGGGCATGTGGAGCAGAGTGCACGGTAACGACCTCGCCGTAACCTTGAGGTGTTCGTGACTTGCCGTGAATCCAGGCGGGGGGAGGAAAGCGGACCGCCCGCCGGGCGTGGTGCCTCGGGTCGGTGGAGGGGGCAGAGGTGAGAACGGCGTGCAGAATTGATAGCAGATGGGGAGAGGGACGATCAATACGAGATCGCTACAGTTTTGTACATGATAACATACAAACTACACTTTTTGCCTACATTGACATATTTAATAATCTTTGTACCGTAGGCTGGTTCTAGCTATTTATGGGCGGTACTTTATACAAAGAGATGCCTATCGTAGCTTGTTTGGGGGCTATTTCAAATGCTTCAAGTATAAAATGATGACAAAAATGTTCACAAAAAGTGTCAATATTAACAGAAAGCATTAATGTAGTAAGTTGAATCAATCCTATCCTGTAGCATACTGATATCTGTGAGGCAAAACTGTGATGTTGCGACGACGAAAACGCTGTTGCTTGTTTTGTATGGGAGGCTATATATGATCCAGCTATTCGTGACGTGTAGTACCCGTGAGTAAAGAATGCCTCGAAAATGTGCTAAGAAATTGCAGTAAATGTCAATATCAGACAGATTTCCTCGTTCTGAATATTTTTGCCGCCCTGAAATTGCAATGGATGCCTTTACAAAATGTGGTGCATGCGGGCAATACTGAACACCATCTTAGAGTTGAGATTGAGAGATTTGGATTACGGGCAATTTCTAGGAGACCCTGTAGTGTTATGACGTCAGGGGCATCTATAGGGTTATTTTGAGCACAAAAAAAACATCCACCCACCCTCAGTTCTTCAGGCTTTCATGTTTGTGCCACACAACACCTTTTCTTAACTTAAGCTCGCGTCACACATTCAGAACCTTCCCACAAATATGAACCGATCAACCAAGGTTGGCTGACGTTCGGGAGCAGTCTGACCAGCTTTAGATCACATTTAGTAAATTTTCTAAACGAATCGAATCAAATTCGTGTTACTCAAGTTCTACTGACCACGCCCCGACCTACCTCAGAACACCAGCCAACCACCAGCCAACCAAGGCCGAACCCCCGTCCACACCCGAATTTCTGAAACAATTTGAAACATCAGGCCGGCGCTACCTTAACAGAACACCAGCCGACCTTGCTCCCGACCTACTCCTAACCATGGTCGGGTGGAGTTCGGCTAGTGTTCGGGAGGCCATGAATTCGTCTACCGTACATTTTGATTACACGAAGACTAAAAATACATGTACTTTGAGTAAGTTTGACCGTGAAGCAAGCACTTACCTACCCTTCGTCACAAACCCTTCCGTTCACAGCCCTTGATAGTCCCAATACACTACGGGAGACTTTAAGGTTCAACGCCAGGGGCATTGGACCAAGGCCAACAGGAGCGAGACTTTTAACAGTGTTGATTCTGTCCTACATGTGTAACAATTGTTTCAATATGGTTGGGAAATAGGTGCTACTGTATGGGGTTTCCGGTGAAGTATTTACAGTTAACTCCTGTCTTACAGAGCCGAATATGGCCTACCGAACACTTGGGATCTCCCCCAATCGTAGCCTCTACCAGGCTTCAGGAGACGGCTGGAAAGAGTATAAATTGACCAAACAAAGAGATGCCAGGGGAGTTGGTCCGCTTGAGAGTACATTTTTCGGGTGCGGCAAAATGTACTTTCAAGCGGACCAACTCCCTGGCATCTCTTTGTTTGGCCAATTTCTACTCTTTCCAGCCGTCTCCCGAAGCCTGGTAGAGGCTACCCCAATCGTGGTTAAGAGTAGGTCTGGAGCAAGGTCTGTTGGTGTTTGGACAGGTCGGCTACTGATCGGCTGCACCAGCCGAATGTTTCGAAATGTTTAAAACATTCGGATGTGGGCTGGAGGTTCGGCCATGGTTGGCTAGTGTTCGGGAATAGGTCAGGGTGTGGTTGGCAGTCAAATGTGACTCAAATCTAACTTAAATTCGATTCGTATAGAAAGCTAGACAGGGCCTAAATCTGGTCAGACAACTCTTGAATAGTCAACCCTGGACATCTAGTGTTCGGGGAAAGCTTCTTTATATGTGGCAGGTGCTAAGACAGACATATTGAGATAGAGAATGAGAGAAAGAGAGAGAGGGAGAGAGAGATGGGGACGAGGCAGAGAGAGGGAGAGAAAGAGGAAAAGAGAGAGAGCGAAAAGCTGGCCAACTTTCTTTCAGTACGTAACCGCTGCTGCTATGTCCCATATTGGAACAAAGCGATAGATTCATTAA